AACCCTAATAAACCCTAGTAAACCCTCGTAAACCCTAATAAACCCTAGGAAACACTTGTAAACCCCAGTAAAGCCTAATACACTGTTACAAACCCTACTGAACCCTAATAAACCCTAGTAAACCCTAATAAGCCCTGGTAAACCCTAACGAGGTCTAGTAAACCCTCGTAAACCTCAGTAAACCCCACAAACCCTCGTAAACCCTCGTAAACCCCCAAAACCCCCATAAACGCTAAGCCCTCCAAACCCCCCATAAATCCCCGTAAACCCTAGTGAACCCCCGCAAACCCTGACAAACCCCCTCAAACCCTAATAAACCCCCTCAAACCCCCGTTAACCCTAATAAACCCCCGTAAGCCCTAAAAAACCCTCGAAAACCCCCAAACCCTCGTAAACCCTCAAAACCCCCCAAAAACCCCCAAAAACCCCCCCGAACCCCCGCAAACCCTAATGACCCCCCAAAACCCCCCGTAAACCCCCAGAAACCCCGTAAACCCTGAAAGGGGGTCTAACCACTGCCAAGTGGGGAACTTGAAGACAAGAAGGTCCCCCGCGTCGACAAACTCCTGGGGAGTCATAGTGCCCTTTTCAATGAACTGGGAAGTTTGGGGAGCAGCAGAAAACCTGGCGAGGAAGCTGCGGCCGGCGTCAGCGAGGCGGTGCTGCACGCTGCTGCCTGTGGGGCCCACGAGGGGCGGCACTGCTGCTGCTGCTGCTGCTGCTGCTGCTGCAGCAGCAGCAGCAGCAGCAGCGGCCGCGGCGCCGCGGCCCCCCCGCGCAGACGCTGCGCCAACTCCCGCTGCGCCCGTCCCCGAGGACCCTCCGGCTGCTGCTGCAGCAGCAGCAGCTGCTGCTGCTGCTGCTGCGCCGCCCCCCGCCTTCGGGCGGCCCCCAGTCATTAACGGGACCCAAGGAAACACACACAGCAATCTGACACACACACACAAACCCTAAACCCTAGACCCTAAACCCTAAACCCTAAACCCTAAACCCTTAACTCTACCGTGCTTGAGGTTCAGTGCATGAGCTGCTGGGGAAAAAGCGAAAAGGGGACACGACAACTGTGAAGAATGGGACTTCAAGTATGCAGCAGCAGCAGCAACAGCAGCAGCAGCAGCAGTAACAGCAACAGCGGCAGAAGCAGAAATAGAGGAGAAACAGAAACAGGAAAATAAACAGCAACGTCAGTAGCAGCACTAGTAACAACAGCAGCAGGAGCAGCAGCAGCAGCAGGAGCAGCAGCAGAACCAGTAGCAGGATAACCAGCCGCAGCAGGGTATCACAAGCAGCAGCAACAGCAGCACTTGCAGGGACAGCAGCAGCAACAGCAGCAACAACAGGAACAAAAGCAACAATTGCAGCAGCCTTAACAGCAGCAACAGCACAAACGTCAGCAACGATAAGGACAGTGGCAGCAGCATCTGCAGCAGCAGCAAGCAGCAGCAGCAGCAAGCAGCGGCAGCAGCAAGCAGCAGCAGTATCTGCAGAACCAGCAACAGCAGCAGCAGCAGCAATGTGAACACATCAATACACCTATGATTCTGATATGCAGCTAGACAACAGCAGCAACAGCTGCACCAGCCGCACACATAGCAGCAGCAAGAACAGCAACAAGAGAAACAGCAGTAACAGCAACAGCAGCAGCAACAGCAGCAGCAACGCAGCAGCGGTAGCAGCAGCGGTAGCAGCAGCGGTAGCAGCAGCTGCAACAGCAGCAGCAGAAGCAGCAGCTGCAACAGCAGCAGCAGCAAAAGCAGCAGCTGCAACAGCAGCAGCAGCAATATTTATATACTACAAATGGTTTTGGAGGCGAAGCAGAAGGGGAAGAAGAACTCACTGCTGCAATCGAGGTGTACAGATACCTGGGCCTTGCTGCGCTGCTCCCGACTGCCTTCCGGGGTCTGGAGAAGAATAAAAAAAGAAATAAAAATGAAAAGCAAAATAAAACAAATGAAAAAGAGAAAAAGCGGAGTAGTGACACTCGAAGAAGCCCAGCAGCAGAGATGGCTGGACAGCTGGTTGGCTGCAGGGGCGGCTGGGGGCGCCGGGTGGCGGAAAAGGAAGAAAAAAGAAACTGGGGGGAATAAAATGCAAATAAAATTAATCGTAATAAAACAAAAACAAAAATAAAGAAAAATAAAACGGACAAACACTCAAACGAGCAGCTGCTGCCGCCAGAAACCCAGTTGAGTAGGTGTCTGTACACCTGACACTCCAGGCCGAAGACGGCGCCCGCCAGGCCGCCCTTGTTGCCTCACATAAACATTTTATTACATTTTTTATGAATTATAATTCAATTTTAATCTTTTTATTTGCCTCGAAGCCCCGGAAATTCAATGCAGCAGCACAGAAGACCGCCGGCGCCTCTGCCACCACTCTGGGGGCCCCGGCAGCCGCGGCGGGGCTACCAAGCCGTTTCCGGGTGTCTGTTCACCCAAATTCAGAATTTAAAACAATTTTATTAATCAAAAATCAAAACACATTTCAAATTCAATTTTAAATTCAATTCGCAGCATCCACTCGCCTCTTCGCCCCACCAGCAGCTGCCGAGACGCCCTGTGTCGCTGCAGCAGCAGCCGCAGCAGCCGCAGCAGCAGCAGCAGCAGAAGCAGAAGCAGCAAACGCAGCAGCAGCAGCGCAGCCAATGCAGGTTTGAATTGTACGTACACCCCATTTAAAACAGCCAGACACACCCGGGCTTCTGCTGCTCCCAAAAGAGGCCTTTGGGGCTTTTGAGGGGCTCGCCGCGGTGTACGTACAACTGGTGTGCAAAGCCCTAGAGTGGAAGCCTTCAAACCCTAAACCCTAAACACCACCCCCTGCTCCCTGAGGGTTTCGGGGGCTTGGAGACGCCAAGAGGCGCTAGAATCTAGGGTTTAGGGTTTAGGGTTTAGGGTTTAGGATTTTGCTGCTGCTGCTGCAGGTAGCGTTCTAGGATGTATTTTTCGCCCTTTCTTGGGGCTTTAGTTGCTGCTTCTTTTCCCCTTTCAAACAATTCAATGAAGCATTTAATTGAAAGCTTTTCAAATGGTTTGTTTAATATTTTTATTTTCCACTTTTTAGCTGCTGCAGTCCTCTTGGGGGGCCCCCCAGCAGCAGCAGAACTCTCCCCCGACGCAGCAGCTTACAGGGGCCCCCAGGGGCCCCTGGAGGTGGCGCTGAACCCTGTGGGGGCGCAGGTACCTTTTAAAAGAATAAAAATAAATAAATAAATAAATGAATATGATAATCAAAAACGATTTAATTGATTTAAATCTTTTGAGGAGAAAAAGAGGAAATTCAAACGGGCCTTTTATGCGGCCTACAAGTGCAGTAACGAATCGACGCGTCTGCTGCTGCTGCTGCGTGTGCTGCTGCTGCTGCTGCTACGTTTGCTGTTGCTGCTGCTGCTCCGTTTTCTGCTGCTGCTGCTGCTGCCGCACTGGATGCTGCGTTCGCTGCTGCTCCGTTGCTGCTGCTGCTGCGCCCCCCGTGACACTGCTGCAACTGCGCCTCTCGCAACTGCTGCTGCTGCAACTGCTTCTGCTGCTGCAACTGCTGCTGCTGCTGCTGCTGCTTAGAGGTTTACCCACAAATGGGGGGCGAAGGGCCACCGGCTGACAGTTGGCTTCGACTCCCCTCGAGTGCTCCAGGGTGCTGCGTTTGAGGTGTCTGTACACCTCGACGCAGATATAGGTAAATCCTGCACAAGCAGCAGCAGCAGCAGCAGCAGGTGGCTGCTGCTGCTGCTGGAACTGCTGCTGATGCTGCTGCTGTCACAGGCGTTAGAGGAGGCGTGGGTTGAAACCCCTCGGGTTGCTGGCGCTATACATACTGCAGCTGCAGCGGCAGCAGCAGCTGCTGCTGCCGTTGCTGCAGCTGGTACCGCTACCGCTGCTGCTGCTGCTGCTGCTGCTCGTTTGTCTGCAGCAGCAGGTCCTGTGTCTGTCATGCCTCGCTTTGTAACGGGAACAAACGCGTGGAGAGAAGAGACGGAGACAGGAGAATTATATTCTTACTTAGCTGCTGCTGAGGATACAGAAGGAGCAGCAGCAGCAGCAGCAGGGGGCCCTGCTGGTGCTGCTGGTGATGCTGATGCTGCTGCTGCTGCTGCTTACCGCAGCCCCCGCAGGCTCACAGCAGCAGAAACTGCTGCTCTCTTCGAGCCTTCCCCGCCGCTGCTGCCACAGAGGCGACGCAAAGCAGCAGCAGGCATGGAAAATGATGAAAGCTGGAATATCGACCAGCAGCAGCAGCAGCAGCAGCAGCAGCAGCAGAGAAGCACAGCCACTGAAGGGGACACGGAAGAGGACCCCGAAGCCGCCGAAGCAGCAGCAGCAGTAGCAGCAGGCAACGGCTCAACAGCAGCAGCAGCAGCAGCAGCAGCAGCAGGAAGCTCGGAAAGAAGAGCAGCAAACGAAGAAGCAGCAGCAAAAAGACGGCTTGTTGTTTGTCCCGATGAATTTTCTGCTTCTGATGAGCAGCTGCGAAATTCCATTTTAAAAGAAGCAGGATTTACAGAAGAGATGAGCTGCGACATCTACGGCAGCAGCGGCCGCGCAGCAACAGCAGCAGCAGCAGCAGCAGGGGGCGCGGGAGAAGCTGCTGCTGCTGTTGCTGCAGCAGCATCAAGAGAGGAGGCGACGGGACGAATCCAAACAAATGGAGCCACCGCTGCAAGCGCAGCCGCAGCAGCAGCAGCAGCAGCAGCAGACCGACCACCCCCCACAGCAGCAGCAGCAGCAGCAGCAGCAGCAGGAAAGAAAGTTTGGAAGCAAATAATGAAACTTCCTCCAGAATATCTTCCCCCGAATTCCCCAGAGTGCCAGGGCGACAGCAACTGCAGCAAAGCTTACTGCGCGTTTGTGGACTGCAGCAGCAGTGAGTTTTGGCTTTTTTTGTTCATTTTTTCCCCTTTTTTCTCCTTTTTAATTTCTTTTTTAATTCCTTTTTTAATTCCTCTTCAATTCCCTCTAATTCCCTTTTTTATTTCCTCTTTTTCTCCTTTTTCTCCGCTTTTTTTAAATCGTTTTTTCTCCTTTCGTTTTTCTTTTTTGCCGCTTCTCCCGTTTTGGCCTCTTGGCGCTCCCGCGCGCTGCAGCGAATTCGAATTTTTGAATTCTTTAAATTAAATTAAATTAAATTAAATAATGAATTATAATTAATTAAATAAATAAAAGAATATTTATTTATTTATTTATTTATTTATTTGTATATTTATTCATGTATTTATTTCAGTTTCTACAAGAGAATCCCAAAAGCCTCTTCTGTGGATTCCCCCGGGCCGCTGGGAAGCAGATTTGCACTTCGACTGGAGTCCGCGAAAAGTGCCATTTCAAGGAGAGCTGTAAACCCTAAACCCTAAACCCTAAACCCCAAACCCTAAACCCTAAACCCTAAACCCTGAGCACGCGGGGAGCAGGCTCCCGGGTTCTGCGGACTCGCCGAGCCGCTTTGTTCGCTCTTGTTCTCGAGGCAAACCCTAAACCCTAATTTCCAAACCCTAAACCCTAAACCCTAAACCCTAAACCGTAAAACCTAAACCCTAAACCCTTGGGGTGTACGTACACCTGAGCTGCAGACGTCTGGAAGTGCGCGAGATTCCTCCTTCTCCTTTGCGCCATTTAAATTCAAATTTGAATTTGAATTCAAATTCAAATTTAAATTCAAATTTCAATTTAAAATCAAATTCAAATTTAATCAAAAGTGAAGAAGAAGAAACTGGAAACTTAGCAATTGTAGGAAGAGCCAGCCTCCCCGCGGTAAGAAACGCGAGGGTTTAGGGTTTAGGGTTTAGGGTTTAGGGTTTAGGGTTTGAGGTTTTTCAAGATACCGCTGTTGAATTCTGCTGCTGCAGCGTTTAGCCGTGCTGCAGCTGTTGCGCATACAGCTGTCGCTGTTGCTGCTGCTGCTCCGTCTTCTGCTGCTGCTGCTCCGTCTTCTGCTGCTGCTGCTTCGTCTTCTGCTGCTGCTGTTCCACCTTCTGCTGATGCTGCTGCATCTGCTGCAACTGCTGCTACAACTGCAGCAGTTGCTTCTGCTGCGTATTTTCTTGCACCTTCAGCTGCCACTCCTACTACTGCACCTGCTGCTGCACCTGCTGCTGCCCCTTCTGCTGCTGCAGCGGCTGCTGCTGCACCTGCTGCTGCTGCTGCACCTGCTGCTGCTGCTGCTACTGCTGCTAGTTGTTTTCAGTCTTATCTGCTATGGAAGGCGGCCTCTCTGTGTGTGGCGCCTCGTTTTCTGCTGCACCTGCTGCTGCTGCTGCTGCTGCTGCTGCTGCTGCTGCTGCTGCTGCTAGTTGTTTTCAGACCTACCTGCTATGGAAGGCGGCCTCTCAGTCTCGGATGCTTCTTTTCCAAACCGCCCAAATATTTTGGGGCTTTTCGACGCGCAGCTAGAATTCAAATTCAAACTGGAAAACCCTATTCCCAGTCAGCAACCTGCTGCTGCTGCTGCTGCTGCTGCTGCTGCTGCTGCTGTTGCTGCTGCTGCTGCTGCTGCTGCTGCTGCTATCTTTGCTCCTGCTTTTCTTGCTGCTGCTGCTATCTTTGCTTCTGCTTTTGCTGCTGCTTCTTTTGCTGCTGCTGCTTCTTTTGCTGTTGCTGCCGGTGCTGCTGCTGCTACTGCTGCCGGTGCTGCTGCTGCTACTGCTGTTGCTGCTGCTGCTGTCCTACTTGCTTCTGCTGCTGCTGCTGCTTTTCCTCGTGCCACTGCTGCTGCTGCTGCTGCTGCTGCCTTTGCTCCTGCTTCTGCTCCTACTGCTGCTGCTTTCGCCCTTGTTTGTGCTACTGCTGCATCTGCACAAGTTTACGCAGCATTCAGGCATATAAGAATATATAAATAATTTATATATTTTTAAATATATAAAAGCAGCAAATCCTTTGCAGCACATTTACATTTACATTTAGATCAGTATTTGCATCTTAATTATATTTGCAGCCAAATTTAAATTTAAGTTCGCACTTTTAATTTTATTGAAAAGCCTTAAGCCTTTTTGTTGCTGCTGCTGCTGCTGCTGCAGAAGAGCAAGGGCCTTTGCTGCGGCTGCGGCTGCCGGGTGTGGCGTGCGGTACGCAGCAGCAGCAGCAGCAGCAGCAGGAGCTGCAGCAGCAGCAGCAGCCCGCGTGGCTGCAGCAAACCCTCCGAGAGTGTTGGGATTTGCACCAAAGTTGTTTGCAATTCAGCAAAGGAGGACTTTTTGAAAACTGCCAAGAAGGGTTTATAGAAATGAATGGACTCGAAATTCGAACTTTAACCCTTTCCGAACCCAAGACAGACCTCACCGTGACAAACCCCAAACCCTAAACCCTAAACCCTAAACCCTAAACCCTAAACCCTAGTTCGACGGGAAAGGAGCCCGAAGCAGCTGCTGCGCCCCCGCCGGAACGGCAAAACAGGAAACGCCCTTGCGCGCCGCAGCGCTAGGGTTTAGGGTTTATCGTTTGGGGTTCCGGGCGAGGGTTTAGGGTTTAGGGTTTAGGGTTTAGGGTTTAGGGTTTGCGCAGGAAGGCACTGTCGTGCTCCACGGCGTTTATCCCCCAACCAGCAACAGCACCGAAATCTCTTCGGAATTTCTTTTGGAAATTTTGCAAACTTTTACAGAAGAGAGAGTTGTGCAAAAGCAAAAGATTCAAGAATGGTAAACCCTAAACCCTAAACCCTAAACCCTAAACCCTAAACCCTGAATTATAAACCACCTAGAGAAGAAAGAGTTGTGCAAAAGCAGAAAGTTCAAGAATGGTAAACCCTAAACCCTAAACCCGAAACCCTAAACCCTAGACCCTAGTTTTAGTTGAATTCTAAACCATTTACAGAAGAAACAGTTGTGCAAAAACAAAAAAATCAAAAATGGTAAACCCTAAACCCTAAACCCGAAACCCTAAACCCTAAACCCTCAAGGACAATCCTACATGATATTAGAAGGAGTGGTTTAAAAAGGTTTCACGAATGTTAAGCGCTAAAGCCTAAGCCCTGGACACAAAACCCTAAACCCTAAACCCTAAACTCTGGACCCAAAACCCTAAACCCTAGGCCGTAAACCCCAGCCCCTTTTGGCTGCAAATTGTTGCTGCCTGTGTTTTTGCAGCAACAGCCGCCTGGAGTCTGCTGCTGCTGCTGCTGCTGCTGCTGGTGGCTACTGCCTGCAGCAGCGGCTGCAGCGGCAGCTGAACACGTCGATGGCGTTTGCTGCTGCTTCTGTGGCTGCTGCTGCTGCCTTCTGGACGCCGCAGCTTGCTGCTGCTGCTGCTGCTGTCGAGGGCCTCCCCACTTGGGGGGCCCCCTTCGAAGTTGCTGTTGCTGTTGAGGCCCCCGAGGAGGTTTACAAGGGGGGCCTCGAGTTGTACGTGCCGCTGCTGCTGCTGCCTGCTGCTGCGGGGCCCCACACTCGCTATAACCCCTATTTTGGGGTTTTCTTCACTGCAGCAGCAGCAAAAGTCCCCGCCAAAGCAGCAGCAGCAGGCAGCAAAATCACTCTCTACCCCGTCACCCTCGCCAAGGGCGAGACCCTGCGGCTTTCCCTCGCGCTGCAGCCCTTTGCTGCTTCTGCTGCTGCTGCTGCTGCTGCCTGGCCCATGCCCCAGGCCATTGCTGCTCCTGCTGCAGCAGCAAATGAATTCAGCATCAAACTTCTTAATCTCCAGAGAAAGCCAGTGGCCATTATTAATAGAATTAAGGCCCCCATCTTCACCCCGGGGGCTGTTGCTGCTCTTGTGGGGCCCCACATGCAGACGGTCCGCGCCCCTGCTGCTGCTGCTGCTGCTGCTGCAGCACGAGCAGCAGCTGCTGACGAACAAGTGCTGCTGGTCTTCCGGCTGCTCCTCGGGCCCCAACAGAATGACCAGGGGCTCGAGGGGTCTTTGGAAATTCATGTGTCTCCTATTTCTAAAGAAAGCGACGCAGGTGGAAGCAGCAGCAGCAGCGGCAGCAGCAGCAGCAGCGGCAGCAGCAGCAGCAGCGGCGGTGGCCAGGACAGCGAAGATAGCGGCAGCAGCAACGAGGACGCAGGCAGCAACGAAAACGGCAGCAGCGAAGGCAGCGGCGAAAGCAGCAGCAGCAACACCGAAGACAAGGACGGCAGCAGCAGCAGCGGCAGCAGCGAAGACAAGGACAGCAGCAGCAGCAGCAGCAGCAGCGCGGGCGACGCGGAGAGCGGCAGGAGCAGCAGCAGGAGCAGCAGCAGCAACTGCAACGGCTGGGCCTCAACAACTCGAGGGTTTGTTTGGTCTTTAGAATGTCCCCAAGGAACAAAGACATATGTGTTTAAGTTGCTGCCGCCAGCGAGCGCGGGTGTTGCTGCTGCTGCTGCTGCTGCTGCCAGCAGCTGGGTGTCGCTGGGGCTGGTGCTGCCGGCAGCAGCAGCAGCAGCAACTTCGCACTACTCTGTCTCCGTGCTAGACTCCTCAGGAACAACTTTGTATTCTGTTGCTGCTGCTGCTCCCAGCAGCAAACGGGACTTGTGTCTGCTGCGGGCCTCGCAGCGGCTGCTGCAGCCAGCTGGCAGCAGCTACTCAGCAAAGCTGCTGCTGCTGTTCCAAACTGTCAGCTGCAGCAATCCAGCCACTCCCTTGAGGGCCCTTCCAGATGAAGTCGAACCTCTTTCTTTCCAAGCAGCAGCAGCAGCAGAAGGGGCCCCCCTGGACCTCATCAGCTCCGCCACAGTCCGCAGGTACTGCAGCAGCAGCAGCAACAGCAGCAGCAGTCGCAGCAGCAGCAGTAGCAGCAGCAGCAGCAGCAGTAGCAGCAGTAGCAGCAGTGGTAGCAGCAGCAGTGGCAGTAGCTACAGGAGTACCGTCAGTAGTAGCAGCAGCAGTACCGGCAGCAGCAGCAGCAGCAGCAACAGCAGCAGCAGCAGCAGCTTTTCTTTTTGCTTGTTTGCCTTCTCAGGTGGGGTTCTGCAGGGACCTCTGCTGTTTCTGCTGCTGCTGCTTCTTTGGGTTTATCTGCTGCTGATGGAGACAATTACTTTAGAACCGACAAACCCTCCTTTTCCAAAACCCTAAACCCTCGCCAAACCCCAAACCCTCGCCAGACCCTAAACCCTAGAGGAGCCCCAAGCCCTCACCGGAGTCCAAGTCCCCAAAAGCTCAGCACTGGCCAAACCCTGCAAAGGCTAAACCCTCGCCAAACCCTAAACCCTAGAGGAGCCCCAAGCCCTCGCCAAACCCTAAACCCTCGTTTCAGCCCCCTACAGCTGCCTAGGCACCCCAGGTTGGCAGCAGCTTCGGTCCACCTCGCCTACCCCCAAGCAAGTGGTTTGCTTAAAAGGGGCCCCCTTGGGGGCCCCCCTGGGGGCCCCCAAGGGGGCCCCCTTGGGGCCCCCCCTGTGCCCCCTGGGGGCCCCCCGTCGGGGGCCCCCCTGCGGGCTCAGGGCCGGGGGGCCCCCGTGTCGGTGCTTCCCGGGGTTGCTGCGGAGCGGAACCCTCTTGCTGCAGCAGCAGCAACAGCAGCAGCAGCAGCAGCTGCTGCTCCCCTCGTGCGCATTGTTGTGGACATTATAGTTGACGAAGACCTGGGGGCTGAGGCCCTCCATATGGTGCAAGAATGGGGCTTCAACAACCTCTATGGGGGCCCCCAGGGGGGCCCCCAGGGGGGCCCCCAAGAGGGTACTGGAGGGTACTGCAAATCCGTTGGCACAGAATGCTATGGGCACAGCTGGGGGCCCCAGGGGCTCTTTCAGTGGGGGGCCCTAGAGCCAAAGAAGGCTCGTTTGCCCATAGCTGAGAAGTGAGTCTGTGCGGCGAATTTGGCGCAATTTCTCTCAAATAAACCCTTAAAATGCATCATTTGATTTATTTTGTTCTTTTTATTCTTTTTATTTGCCTTTTTCGGCGATTTTTGACTCCTTTTGGCCCCTCAGGTTCAAAGACGTCGCCCTCATCCAGGCCATTCAACCCGCGCTGGAGTGGCGACAGGCGAGCGGGCGAATCGGGTTGCCTTTTTGCCATTTATTCCCCTTTATTTGGCATTTTAAATCTTTAATTTATTTATTTATTTATTATTATTTATTTAAATTATTTGTTGCCATTTTTGATCCTCTTTTTCCGGCTATTTACCCGCAAATTTGCTCTTTCGGAAGGCAGCCGGCCGCTTGAGTGACCTCGTCAACTGCAGCCGTCTTCGTCAATAAAGTCGAATAATTGGATCAATTGGGAATGAAATTGATTTCTTAAATTTAAGATTAAATAAATTTATAAAATAAATTCATAAAATTGATTTAATTCTGCAAAAAGATCATTTGAATATCTCATTTGTGTGTGCAGTCGGTTTCCTGCGACGAAATCCCACCCCACCTGTCGGTTGTGCTGCTGCTGACGCTGCCAGACAAAGCGAAGGAATTTGCTGCTGCAATGTCTCCTGCTGCTGCTGCTGCTGCTGCTGCTGCTGCTGGCTCCGCAGAAGCCTCTCCCGCTGCGGCTGCTGCTGTTGCGGCAGCAGCTCCAGGGGCGCAGTCTTCCTCGTCCTCCCCGCCCGCTGCTGCTGCCGCTCCCGCCGCTGCTGCTAACACTGCTGCTGCTGCTGCTGCTGCTGCTGCGGAGCCGCTGCCGCGCAGCGCGCGCCCCGTTTACCTGCACATTGTGTCTTACAAGGAGCTGTCTTACAAGCCTCTGGAAGACCCGGTTGCTGCTGTTGCTGCGAGCCCGCGGAGCGACAGTTTGCTGCTGCTGCAGCAGGCGCTGCGGGAAGCAGCGCTGGATGCTGCTGCTGCTGCTGAGCCCGTCTTCGTGTCCTTTTCTGCTGCTGCTCCTCTCGAAGGCCAATATGAAGGAGATGCTTTGATAGCCAAGCTGCAGGAGCTGCTGCTGTACGTACACCTCGAGCTCTCCAACAGCATCGTCTCTGTGGAAATCTGCAGACACAATCCGCCCCCAGAAGGCTACTCCTTCGAGCAGCAGCAGGGCAGCAGCAGCAGCAGCAGCAGCAGCAGCACCAAGAGGACCATTCAGATCCTTTACAACGGTACGGGCCCTCCAAACCCCAAAAGCAAATGCCAACTAGCTAGCCACGGAGAGCCAGCCAGACTGCTGAACCCCTAGCTACTCAGCTAGCTAGCTAGCTAGCTAGCTAGCTAGCCAGCTAGCTGAATGACTGGCTTGCTTCCAGCGAGATAGCTAGTTAGCTAGCTAGCTAGCTAGCCAGCAACTCAACTACCCAGGCAAACAGGTAGACAGTCGGCGAGCTATGTACTTACATAACTAATCAGTTATCTAGCCAGCTAGCTAACCAGCCAGCTAGCTAGCTAGCTAGCTGGCTAGCTAGCTGGCTAGCTAACTTGCTGGCTGGCTAGCTAGCTAGCTGGCTAGCTAGCTGGCATCTGCAGAGAAGAGGAGGCAGACACTTCTCTGCAAACAGGTAGCCCGAGCCCCTGAAAGACAGCAGCAGCAGCAGCTGCCGCTGCTGCTAGTGCTGCTCCTGCTGCTGCTAGTGCTGCTGCTGCTGCTGCTGCTGCCACTGCTGCTGCTGCTGCTGCAGGTCAGCCGCTGGAGGAGCTGATAGAATACGAAATCCCGGAAAAAGAAGTGGAAGTTTACACTGCAGCAAAACTCGACTGGCAGTTCCAAATGGCTTGCGACGGCACATTCGACCCCGTCAACTGAAGCACCAACAGCTAGCCACAGCTAGCCACAGCTAGCCACAGCTAGCCGCAGCTAGCCACAGCTAACCACAGCTAGCCACAGCTAGCTGCAGCTGGACACGGCTAGCCACGGCTAGCCGCAGTTGGACACGGCTAGCCACAGCTAGCCACAGCTAGCAGCCACAGCTAGCTGTGGCTGCTAGATGCAGTTAGCTGTGGCTGCTAGCTGCAGCTAGCCAGAGCTAGCTACAGCGGGACACAGGACACGGCTAGCCACGGCTAACTACAGCTAGCTCCAGCTAGCTACAGCTATCCACAACTGGCTGGGGGCGCTTCTAGGGAGTTCTGGTGAACCAAGACTGGCCCTTCATGGGCAGGGCTGGCTGTAGCTGGCTGTGTCTGGCTGTAGCATCTGCGGCTAGCTACAGCAAGCTGTAGCTAGCTGGAACTATCCTCAGCTAGCTGTAGCTAGCTGAGTGTACCTGTATACCCTGTAGCTAGCTATGGCTAGCTATGGCTAGCTGTGGCTAGCTGTGACTGGCTGCATTGCTAGGGCTGGACCATGAGGAGGCAGGGCTCTGCGGTGTACGTACACCCGGGTTTCTTCTGCAGCAAAGGATCCTGTGGGGCCCCCAGGGGCCCCACAGGGTCCTTTGCGGGATCCCCAGGGGTCGCCCTGGGGGCCCCCGGGGGCCCCCCGGGGGCCCCCAGGGAGCTTCCTGCGGTCCCCGTGCTCCCGTGGGGCCCCTTGGGGGGCCCCCAAGGGGCCCCCCTTGCCTTCAAAGGAGCCCGGCTGCCTTCTAATGCTATTGGAGACTGCAGAAGAGAAATAAAAGTGAATTGAAGTTTTGCTGCTGCTGTCTTGCTGCTGGGAGTTTGTGCGGGCTGCATGAGGTTTATGTACACCTGCGGTGGGGCCCCCGGCGCGCAGGGGCCCCAGCCCCGGCCTTGGCGAGCTGGCAGCAGCAAATGGATTGCATTTATTATTTTAAATTGCAAGTATTTCCTTTTGACATTATTAAAAGAAAAAAATCCAAAAAAGGCCTTTCTTCTGTTCCGGAGGAGCGCCGCGCCGCCGCCGCCGCCGCTGAGCTGTCTAGACACCCCAACACACAAACCCTAAACCCTCAAACCCCTCCATTTCTTTTTCTTCACTTTTATTCTTTTGGAGTTCCAAAAGCAGCTTGGGGGGCCCCGGGGGCCCCTTGGATGCTTCCCCCTTCCCGGCCCCCTA